CACTACAAGAAAACATTCTAATTTTGACTACCAATTTGGTCCAAAATTGGTAAAAAACAGCTATTTCTGACTAGTTTTTGACTAAAATCGATTCGTAAAAAATCGATGGTAACAAATAGAATTTGGTCAGAAAATAGTCAAAACATTTTGACCAATAAAAATGGTCAAAATTTTGGTTTTGACCAACAAAGTGGTCAAAATTTTAATTATGACCAATAAAATCGTCAAAAATTTTTGATCAATCAAAATGGTCGGAACTATATATTTTGACCAATTTTAGACCATATATTCTAGAGAAATTTCAAAGCATGCCATTTTTCAGGTGCAACTTTACAAAAATGCCACATTTTTGAAATTTTTACAAAAATGCCACTTTTCAAAATTATTTTTTCTTTAGATTATTTATGTCTGGGTTAATTATGTTCTATTAGGGTTTAGTTTTGAGTGTTTAAGGGGTTTAGGTATCAAAACATTTTTTAGGGTTTAGAATTTTAAGATATAGGCTTTATAAATGTATAATTAGTGACATTTTTGTAAATAGACACCCCTAAGTGGCATTATTGCAAATGTGCACTCAAAACGTGACATTTTTGTAATTGCTCCTATATTCTAACCAATTTTTGACCAACTTAGATATTTAAATTTTAGAACTATATTTTGATCCATTCGAAAATATTGAAATTCAAATTTAAAATATTTGATTCATAATAATTAAAATAAAATTAAATATTTTAAGAAAATTAAAATATCAAATATTTCAAAAAAAATATTTGAAAATATAAAAATTAAAATTTAAAATATTTGATTCTTAATCATTTCAAAATATCCACTAAATCAGCGATTAAAATATTTCAAAATTCAACTATTTGGGCCATGAAGCCNATTTACGTTTTTCACAATGGAGTAAGTGTTATTTTATAGAGAATGTCAAAGTTTCATCCCTCCCATATTGGCGATGTGAGACAAATACAATAGAAGTGTTCTCCTCAATATTTGGTCGATAATATTGTGACCAATTTCTGTCAAGTATTTATTCGTCAAAAATTACTCACGAAGTTTCGACCAAATTTTATTTTAGTCGATAAATGGTAAGAATATTTTGACTATTTACTCACAACTTGTATTAGTAAAAAAAAGTAAGATCATATTTCGACGAGTTTAAATTTTCATAATTTTTTGGTCGAAAATTTGTCAACAAACATTTTGACCAATTTATTCGTAAAAAAATTGTTAAAAAATTAACATGTTTTCTTGACCAATTTTCAACCAATTTTCTTTGTCGCAAGTTTTCGACTATTTTTGACAAATTTACGAATCCGTTAATAATTGGTAAAAAAATTTTGACCAATTTTCGACTCTTATATTTCATCATATTTTTTCTTGACCAATTTATAACGAAAATAAACATTCGTCTAAATTTGGTCGAAAATGATCAAAATAGTTTTGACTACAAAAAAAATTGGTCAAAAATTGATATGTTTTATTGTACTGATTTTTCGTACTTATTGATTGATATTGAATGCCGTTAGTTTAAATCTAGTTTTAATAGGCTATTGATTAGAATCTAAATATTTACATCAATAAAGTTTAATACATAGTTTTATATTTTTACAAAGTTTATTATTATTAAATTAAACGGTTATTGATAACAATAGTGGAAGTTGAATTCTACGATGAGAATTTATATGTGAACTCAGAGAAGAAATTTTAGTTCTAAGAAATATCTATAAATCTGATATGAATTAGGAAATATATGGCAAAACTGGATTTATATTGATATGGATCGAATATACAAAGAGATCTCGAGTGAAATGTGTTTACAATCTAAAATATAGTGTTAAGTTTCTCGTAAATGAAAAAAGTTGGCGAATTATGCTCGGACTCCTTGTATTTATAGCTTGATCCAGCTCTTGGTCCAGCTCTGCGTATATTGGGTTAGCTCTGCGTATCCCGCACATGTTCTACGTTGATCCTTTGAGAATATCGCGGTTGCGGTTGAGACAAAGATCCCTTTGACTCGTTCTCAACTCTTAAACTCAGCTCTCATTGACTCCGCGCGTTTTGAGCTGACTTGAGCCCGCCATCTAAGCCCTTTTTTTTACATATCATTTGGGTCTGTTATGGGTTTGGGCCAAAAGCCTAAACCTTTTGTTATTTTATCTTATTTTCTTTGGATTTTTTATGGGTCTGATTCGGTGGCGAATCCAACTCCAACAATAAGTATATTATTTTTGAAAAGCCAATACTTTTGGTAGTATGTTTGGAATGTAAAAATTTTTAATGGTATTTTCGAAAAGAAAACTTCAAAATGTGATATTTGAGGGAATTTATTTCATTAGAATGTGCACAGTATTATAAATAGTGTGGGGTTAGATTGCAAATTAGCTGATAATGTGTTGCTATAAATGCAAATTCTCTAATAATAAAGAGAACAAAAATTAAAGGAAAAAAAAATTCCCTTAATAATGAGAAACAAAACGGGGCCGTTTGGACGCTATAACGACTTTGCGTCAGTGTGTACTTTTGCGGTGTTGTTAGGTTTGGGAATCGCCGTGCGATTCCGTTTCAGCTTAGGCGCTTCCGGTCCGGTGATTCAGTACCCGGCAAAAACTCTATCTTTTGATCTCGCCGGAAAGTATTA